TTGGCTGTTTCCTCCCAAATGACCTGAAATGATAGAGTTCCTGATTGTATTTTTGTAATATTTTTTCTGAGATCAAAAGTTTAAGTATGCCAATCTGGTCACAGTTGACCTGAGTTTCGTGTTATTAGATTTCTAAAGTAGATTATAACTTTATGTTTACAAAGATAAATGGTATTTCTTCTGGTAGTATATGGATAAAAAGTTTAGAAACCTTTAGAAACCTATAGACTGATTATCTCAGAAGTAGTTACTTAAACTAGAATTTTGGCCCCAAGAAAGTAAATTTATTTGCTGTTGGAGCTTGTATTGAAAATAGGCCAAAATGAGAGAACACACAACTATACTTTCAATTTTCTAACAAGTATTTTATGAATACAATGGCATAGAGACATTGATTATTAAACAGTGAATGACATTATGATCGCATTATAATTTAAACAATTATATAAGAATGAGCAAAAATAAAAGCTGTCATTCTGTGTAGTATATCTTCCTGTCTTCAAAACCAGAACAAAAAACCACATTACTCACCATATAGGTATATTAAGTTATAGTTAAAACAATCCATAAATACAGAAACCTTGGATACTTAACAGTCTGTGTTCAGTTGAGTTTACTCAGCTACATGTGGATACAGTGCAGACTTAGTAATATAAATGAACTCTTCTCTGCATGCATGACTTATGCATCTGTACCTCATCACTCACAGAACAGTTTTTGGAAACTTTGAAACTCTGCAATATGCAGCACTCCAACCCTCCAACAGTTTCTCCGATTCACTGTAAAGTTCCTTATGCTCCTGCTCTCTTCTGTGTTTATTTTTAAGTGGATGCTCTGTGGGGCGGTTTATTCTATTGTGCAATGCAGTGATTTTTCAAAGTCCTGAATACTAGGTAGTCATACTAATTTGTGACAACAGTCTTCAGACTTGATCCCTCTAACAGAGCACATGATGTTTGGTCTCAAAGCTTATTTTCCAAATTGAGAACAATGGAGCGCAAATGGCTATTCTTCCCCTATTGGCTTTTTTGTTCTTGGCAGTACTTGTGTGGTGTGTTGTTAATCAATAAATAAAACATGCAGATTGAAGTACTCATATAACTGGACAGTGTACCATAAAAGTGGTACTACAGGTATATTGTACATGTCAACAATATATATAAGGTCATTTTGTTCACTTTTTGGAACTAGGACCTTGAGATATTAAAACAAGCTGGAAAATTTGGAACACCCTCAATTCTGGTATCTCACTGTCCTCCTTAACTGGCTCCAATCCCCATTCCATATCCAGTGACTTCTCACTCCATCTCTGCTCCAGCCTGGGCTTCTAGCTCTGCTCTGACTCATTTTATTACTTGGACATTGGGATTTTTTATGATAATTGACATTTCCTGTATATTATTACCAAATAGCTTTGGAAATTATCTCTGAAAAATTTGAAACTGAACAAAAAACAGACTTCACTTGGGAAAAATGACCTTTTCAGCTTGGAGTAGGTCAAGGCTGTAAGATAATACTTTGCAGGAGAAGGCAACCCCAACTTAGTTTAGTCAAACTCAACTTAGTTTCTAAATGATGGCTGCAAATTGAACCCTGATTTCCTAAAAGCTCAATGTTATAAACTGGAACACTAATACCAAAAGTAATCATGAAAATAGATTAAAATGTAAAGAAGTGCTTAAAAATATTTGTAAAGGATCTCTTTAGTAAAGTAGCTACATTAAATAAAATGCAATTGCCTCATTCTGGGGCTGGTATTGCCTGGGCTGGTTGGTTGCTTGAGGGGACATTGGTGGTTGTGTCTGTGGCATCAATTGACCCACTGCTTGTTCATTTTGGTTTACTGTCCCTACTCCAGAAGTAGCCCTTAATTATCTCAGCAGTTGCGATATGTAATCCCAAAGGTGGGCTCATGACCCGTTAGATCAATCAGAGTGAAGTCAGAATCGTTTTTTTGACAATGAGCCAATATATTCTTTTAAAGTGACTTTTGTTTTGTTTTGTGGTTACTTCCAACCAAGGTATCATTACTGAAATACTGACACTTCTCAAAATGAATCCAATGAAATTAGGACTGAAAAGCTTTCTTTCCCTGGTAATTCTCTGTTGTAAGCATAGGTATTTTTCATCCCAGCAGGATAATTTTTTTTTTTTTTGACATGTCTCACTCTGTCATTTAGGCTGGAGTGCGGTGGCACGATCTCTGCTCACTGTACCCTCCACCTCTGGATTCAAGCACTCTCCTGCCTCAGCCTCCCGAGTAGCTGGGACTACAGGCATGTGCCACTACATATGGCTAATTTTGTATTTTTAGTAGAAATAGGGTTTCGCCAGGTTGGCCAGGCTGGTCTCGAACTCCTGACCTCAGGTGATCCACCTGCCTCGGCCTCCCAAAGTGTTAGGATTACAGGCATGCGTCACTGCACCCAGCATCCGAGATAATCTTAATAAGTTTACCAGTGTCAAATTAAATGTGGATTGTCAAATTAAATGTGAATAACTGTATTCAAGTCAGGTCAACTTGGTCAATTTGAAGTCAACTCCTGATCTCAAGTGATCCACCCACCTTGGCCTCCCAAAGTGCTGGGATTACAGGCGCGAGCCACCGTGCCCAGCCTCCAAGATAATAAGTTCACCAATGTCAAATTAAATGTGGAATGCCAAATTAAATATGAATAACTATATTCAAGTCTTGGAATGAAAACTGCTAATGTTTTCATGGTGACTTCAATGACTCCTTACTTTTTCATGTCAAAACTTTAACCATTTATTCATGTCTGTGAGAGAAACCTCAATTCGTTTTCCGAGAATGACTCAATATGATGCTGGTGTTGCTATATCTATCTGTGGCAGTAACTGCAGATTTTGGCTGTTCCTTGGGGGCAGAATTTTTTTTGTTTGTTTGTTTTCTGTAGAGACAGGGTTTCACCTTGTTGCCCAGGCTGGTCCTGAACTCCTGAGCTCAAGCGATCCACCCACCTCAGCCTCTCAAAGTGCTAGGATTGAAGGTATGAGCCACCGCTCCTGGCTCATGATTTTTGTTTTAAAGTGCATAAAAATAGAGGTCAGGTTGTGCTATCTGAAATTGGGGGCGGGGGGATGCCTCCTTTAAAGGGACATAAAACAGACCAAAATGTTAATATATCAGCAACCAAGTATTTGGATATTAATATTAATTGGCTTCCGCATCTTAACCAAAAGCTGCCTCATTGCTAACTCCAACAAAACTCATGTTTTCTTTTCCTTGACCATTTGTAGCATGTGAAGTCACTGGTAAGTTCCTATTTACTTATTTAATTTAGAGACAGGGACTCAACTCTGTTGCCCAGGCTGGAGTGCAGAGGTGCGATTATGGCTCACTGCCACCTCAACTTTCTGGGCTCAGGTGATCCTCCCACTTAAGCCTCCCAAGTAGCTGGGACCACAGGTGCATGCCACCATGCCTGGTTAATTTTTGTATGTTTTTTGTAGAGAGATGGTTTTGCTATGTTGCCCAGGCTGGTATTAAACTGCTGGGCTCAAGTGACCCTCCCGCCTCAGCCTTCCAAAATGCTGGTATTATGGGCCATGCCACCGTGCCCTGCTGTAACTTCATTTTTAAAGGTTTCTTACTCTTTGGCTCGTGTGGTCTCCTCTTCCTCTGCCCATTTTAAATATCTGATGTTTTCATGATTCAGTCTTGGACCCTCTTCTCATTCTTTATTCTCCAGGGGTTATCTCATTTGCTGTCATCTAGGCTTTACTGCCAAATCTCTCAACAGGAAGCTCTTAGAAAAGACAATACAGTACATTTTTGCTCTGTTTAAAACTCTCTAACTCCCTAATGCTGTGAGGATACACTCCAGAATACCACCGCAGGATCTACCCTGGTCCTACCTCTGAAGTCATCTCTCGTCACTCCCCAAGTCCTACTCACATATATATGTATATATATACATACACATATATCTTTTATTTTTTTGAGACAGGGTCTCACTCTGTCACCCAGGCTGGAGTGCAGTAGTGCGATCACGGCTCACTGCACCCCCAACCCCTGCCACTGGCTCAAGTGGTCTTCCCACCTCAGCCTCCCAAGTAGTTGGGACCACAGGCACGTACTACCACACCTGGCTATTTTTTTGTACTTTTAGTAGAGATGGCATTTTGCCATTTACCCAGGCTGGTCTCGAATTGCTGAGCTCAAACAATTCTCCTGCCTTAGCTTCCCAAAGTGCTGGGGTTACAGGTGTGAGTCACCATGCTTGGCTCTACTTACCAATCTTAAGTCTAACTGAATCTCATTTCCTTGAAGGTTCTAGGTTCTTGCTTTCTACCTCTGAGCTTCTACATACTGCTGTACTCCCTGCCTGTAATAGTAATCACCTCCCTATTACTCTTTCTGACTAATCTTTTCATATTTCAACTTAATGGTCAGGCCACATCCTTCAGGAAGCCAACTCTGCCAACCCCTCTTGAGGATATGCATTCCTCCTCAAGAGTCCCCAACACACTCTATTTCTCCCCTCATAGCAGTATCTTTAAGTTCTTGTTAATTAAGCTTTAGCCTCCAGAAGTTCTGTGAGGACAGTGGCCATGTCCAGCTTGTTTAGCATATTTCCAGAGAGTAACAGTTGCCTGTTCAGGAAAGGTATGTGATGAATATGTGAAGGACTAGATACCCTGTGCTAGGCTGTCTCTAATAAATATTTGATTTTCAGGAAAATAATTTATGGTACCACTCAGCTAATGTTTTGTAGGAACATTAAAAGTGTTCCTGTTACATTATTAAAATAATTAACTGTTAAATTATATTTTACTTATAGACAGTCAAAAGAAGGGACAAATTGAAAAGTGGTTCTGACAGTATGGCAAGTGAAATGCTGAAATTCTTTGACTAATTTAGTTAGTCTAAACTCTTAAAAATAGAAAGTTCTAATAAATATATTTTCTCTCATATTCAGGAACCATAATGGATACTAGAAAAATATTGTGAATCTTCCCACAAAAAAATGAAAGGACAATTTCATTTTAAAGAGTTTTATTACAGGATGTTAATATTTAGGACACTTCAGAGCACCTTATACTTCTAATCAGATTTTGGGTAACTGGTTTTAAAGTGTTACTTGAATATTTTTCTCATACTGTCTTTCAGGTAAAGTACTTCTCAGAGACCGTTTAAGAGATGTTAATTTGATTAAACAGTTTATCCTTAATAACCTGAGACATCAATCCATGGATAGCTTCTATGGTAGTTTTACAGCTGGAAAACAAAACACACATCACATGATGTCATAAATTGAAAACTATTTCAAACACACAAGATCAGCCCCAATCCATCCATGTAACTCCAATGAGTTTGGTTTTATTCATACTTCTCAAACCACCCCAATGTGAAGTTTTCCCTTGTTATTTTATTAGTCTTCCACATGTCTTTTTAACCATTTCATTACTTACTAGAACTTTCACAAGAGAATGACACATAAAATTTGATACAATTGTTCTGTTTTAGAAGGTGAGTAAAATTATACAAACCTGTAATTAGAGATTGATTCCAATATTATATTACATTATAATCTGCTATTCCTTGTTTATTACTTGGGATAATTTGAAAAATAATTTTGAAGAATACTATTTTTTTCCTGAAATAATCACAAGCAATTGTCCTCCAACAATTAGAAGTCAAAGTTAGATTAGCGGGTGAAGGCCTTAGATTTTAGAAATGATAAAAAGTATAAGGCAAAAAGCAATGAAAAAACCCCATCAATATTCAGAAGAGATGCAATTCTTGTAAAGCTACCGCAAAAAGGAAAATACTCTACTTTTGATTACTACTTCTGTTCTATTTCCTATATAATTGAAGACATTGCCATAGTAAAATTTTTGCTTCATAAGACATTGAGAAATAAATGTAGATAAACTGATAAATTACATACATAAAGACAGAGGAACAAAACACACACTCAAAGCAAGTATCTAAAATGACAACTAATGCCAACGAAAAATACTTTTTTTTGGAGACAGTGTCTCACTCTGTCACCCAGGCTGGAGTGCAGTGGCACAATCATGGGTCACCGCAACCTCTGCCTCCTAGGCTCCAGTGATTCTTGTGCCTCAGGCTCCTAAGTAGTTGGAACCACAGATGTGTGCCACCATGCCCAGCTAATTTTTTTTGTAATTTTTGCAGAGATGGGGTTTTGCCATGTTGCCCAGGCTGGTTTTGAACTCTTGAGCTCAAGCAATATGCCTGCCTTGGCCTCCCAAAGTGCTGGTATTATAAGCATGTGTCACCATGCCCAGCCGAAAAATGCAACTTTTATGCAGGCCACTAGCTCTACCTTCTAAAAACCCACTGAGTAGATGGCAGTGAAATAAGGCTAACCCAAAATGACCTCCAATCCCAGGATACACTTCAGGTACGCTTTTCTCCTCTTTACCCTATAAACCAAACCAGTTCTTAAAATAGATACCAACATGTAAGTGTGTATAGAAGTCAATGTAGTTCTCCCTTCCTTTCTGCCCCTAATTATTGCATTACAATTCAAATTTCTTTTCTTTCTTTCTTTTTTTGAGACAGAGGTTCCCTCTTGTTGGCCAGGCTGGAGTGAAATGGCGCCATCTTGGCTCACTGCAATCTCCACCTCCTGGGTTGAGGCGATGCTCCTGCCATGGCCTCCTGAGTAGCTGGGATTACAGGCGCCCGCCACCATGCCTGGCTAGTTTTTGTATTTTTAGTAGAGACGGGCTTTTACCATGTTGGCCAGGCTGGTCTTGAACTCCTGACCTCAGGTGATCTGCCCGCCTTGGCCTCCCAAAGTGCTGGGATTACAGGTGTGAGCCACTGTGCCCAGCCTAAAATTCAAATTTCTGTGAAAGTAAATGTTGTTAATCTATGCAACTTTGTATAGCCTATAATATATCTGAAGGTCCACATAATTATTTCATAAGTTATTAGAGAACATATCCCAAATTTGTTCCTAATAAAATCTTTGGTAGTAAAATTTGGGATACTAAATTACTGTTTTAGAAGCACAATTTAAGAGAGAGACAATCACTTCCGTAATATCTTAGGATTTAAAGCTTTATTGAATATTAAAATATTATAAATTTAAGAAATCCTAATTTTGGCTGGGCGCGGTGGTTCGTGCCTGTAATCCCAGCACTTTGGGAGGCCCAGGTGGGTGGATCACCTGAGGTCAGGAGTTCAAGACCAGCCTGGCCAACATGGTGAAACCCCATCTCTACAAAAAATACAAAAAAATTAGCCAGGCATGATGGTGGGTGCCTATATTCCCAGTTACCTAGGAGGCTGAGGCAGGAGAATCGCTTGCATCCAGTAGGCGGAGGTTGCAGTGAGCCAAGATCACACCATTGTACCATTGCACTCCAGCCTCAAAAAAAAGAAATCCTAGTTACTTACACACACACACACACACACACACACACACACACACTTTAAAGATCCACTGAAGGGCTGGTTTTCTTTGTTACACTTTCTAGTTGAACTTAGAAAAGGTGACTGGGAGTGTTCCATAACACTGCTTAGATCTTTGATTTAAGCCTTTTAATGTTCTTACCTGATGTATCCTAAATTTTTCAAAGTTAAAACTTGTGTCTGACAGCTCCTAAAGTTTCCAAGAAGTTAATATTCAGGTACCGTTCTAAGTCGTAACTAAGTTGAGCCATAAGGAATCTGAATCCTACCATTGTTTGCAAATTTTGAAAGAAAAAGAGTTAGGGGCAACAAGAATCTTACAGATTTACTCTTACCTGTCTCTCGTAGCTTTGGCAAGTTTGTCTTCTGATTTTCTGTCATGCGTTTCCAAACCCAGCATGAAACTCCCTCGTCCCAGCTGGGCTTCTGACTGCTCTAACTTTTCAGACAAATCAAAGACCTGACCAGTGGTATAGTCTGCATTCTGTGGGGAAAATGGTATTGTGTCACTACAAAACACAAGTCTACCATTTAAAAAATCTATGTTAATGTAAACTAATTTCCTACAAAGAATATTTCATTTGCAAAGAATTCCACTATAAAATCTGAGTGAATAGTCAGTGAGAAATCAAATTACATTTGCAAATCTGCTTCCAAATTCAGGTAGTTCAAGTGTAGATAGATGTTTTCCCTTTTATAATTTCAAGATTACTTGGAATTTTTCTCCTTGACTGCTTAAATCTAATATTTGTTATTATGGGAGGCTGTCAAGTATACAGACCTAAGTCCAAGTTCTGGAAGTATGACAGATTAGTTGAAGGCCTGAGGTATGCCTCCAGGTTCTCTTCTGAAAATGGTAAGGGAGTCGATAATTCCTACCTTAGAGCTACAGTGAAAATTAAATGAAGTAATGCATATAAAATTTTTGGCACTGTCCATGACACCTAGTAAAGGCTTAGTAATATTAGCTAATTTTGCTATTATTTTTGTTGAACTTTTAGAATTAGAACTTATGACAATATTGATAAAAATAACATTTTAAAAGCTTTTCTGGGTCGGGCGCAGTGGCTCATGCCTATAATCCACATTTTGAGAGGCTGAGGCAGGTGGATCACCTGAGGTCAGGAGTTTGAGACCAGCCTGGCCAACAAGATGAAACCCCATCTCTACTAAAAATACAAAAAAAAATAGCTGGGCGTGGTGGTAGGAGCCTGTAATCCCAGCTACTTGGGAGGCTGAGGCAGGAGAATCACTTGAACCCAGGAGGCGGAGGTTGCAGTGAGCCGAAATTGTGCCATTGTACTCTAGCCTGGGCAACAAGAGCAAAACTCTGTCTTTAAAAAAACAAACAAACAAACAAACAAACAAAAAATCTTTTCTGGTTACAAAATTAATAATTATACAAAAAAATTTGGAAAATGTAGAGCAATATAAAGCAGAAAACAAACACATTTATAATCTCTTCATTTAGCTTTAACCACAATTACAGAGCATTGCTATATGCTTACATGTATACCTACATTTGAAAAACTATAATATTACATATTTTACCAATATTTTTATGGGGTATACTTTCTTAATTGTAGTCTAAAACACAAAAAAAAATTTCACAAAGTTATTAAGTATACATTATATTTCTTTCCTAGATCTTCAATAGAAGAGTGTGAAGAGGAAATAAACTAGTTGGCAAAAAGTAGCATGTCATTCTATTTGCTCAGTTTGCAAGGAAAGACAGTCAGTCACCAAACAAGAAAAGTTATTTGCTGCCATACCAGTTCTTCCAGTGATTTTTACAAACTTAGTATTTTTAAAAGATGCAAGTATATTCATTTTGTCTGGATCTAAATGGTTTAGGAAACCAGTATGTTTTTCCTCCCACAGACTTGGAAAAAACCCTAAAGTTTATAGAGCTATTTAAGCCATAAAAATATAGGCTACCAGAAAGTTATACTATTAAAATGACAATAAAAGATATCCAATTACATTTCAAATGTACACAAAATGAATATAGTAAACTAATTTCTTAAATTAGAAAATAACTTAGGTTACATGCTATAATTAACTTCCTTAGCTGGGGGAAGAGAGAAGTTGAACATATGTCTATATATTTGTTCTTAAAATGCTGCAATGTACTATACATAAAACAACAAAAAGGCAGAAATGTAATTTAACCTTTTCTTGATTATTAATGTCCTCATCTATGCAGTGCTGGAATACAGGGACAGACATTGGGCTGAGTAGGTAGATCTGCTTGCCTTATACAAAGGTTCAGACTGCTCTGGTCTTACAGTGTTTTCTCCCCTTGCCATCAGGTGTCACTTCTGGCTGCTATTAGTATACTTGCCTCTAAGGAAACAACACATATAAAGCACTTAGCAGTGTCTGGCACATAGGAAGCATGTAACACATATTTGCTATTATGATCATTCTCCATCCTAATTTGCTACTTCTGACTACTAAAGATAAGAAATAAGAACAAATGCTGGTCGCCATGGCTCATGCCTGTAATCCCAGCACTTTGTGAGGCCGAGGTGGGCAGAAGACTTGTGCCCAGGAGCTCCAGACCACCCTGGACAACATGGTGAAACCCTGTCTCTATGAAAAAATACAGAAAATTAGTCAGGCATGGTGGTGTACATCCCTGTAGTCCCAGCTACTCAGGAGGCTGAGGTGGGAAAATCACCTAAGTCCAGGAGGTCCAGGCTATAGTGACATGTGATTGTACCACTGTACTTCAGCCTGGGCAACAGAGTGAGATCCTGTCTCAAAATAAAATAAAATTTAAAAAAAAAAGGAAAAAAGAAAAAAAGAACAGAAAGCTTGTCAGAGTTGTATTTAAAATAACAGTAAATACACTGCTTCACTTGACTAGCCTAAAAAAAATTCCAGTAAATAACAGGCTTAAGTGAAGTCTTTTCCCATGAATATAATGCACCAAATTAAAAAAAAATCATTTACTGAGGCTTTATTATATGCCAGACACTTTACTAATTGCTTTATATAAAGTAGCCCATTTAATTATCTCAGAGTACTTAATGATGTATGTAGTATATCACCATTTCACAACAAAGAAATGCTTAGTCACATTAAATAACTTTCTGAAAGTCACTCAGAACTAGTAAAGTGACAGAGTTGTTTTCAAAGTCAATTTTATTTTTTAGTATAGATATCATTTATTATAGAAGAGACATGGAAATTTACATAATTAAATATTTCGGAACTTAAGTGCAATGAGCAGCTTCATGTTGATGGCATTTCAATAGTGATTTACTTCAGTCTACATACTTTCTAAGAATGTCAGCATCTCTAAATAAGAAATAATCTGGCTAGGCATGGTGGCTCACAGCCTGTAATGCTAGCACTTTGGGAGGCCAAGGCGGGCAGATTGCTCAAACCTAGGAGTTCATGAAGCCAGCTTGGGCAACATGACAAAACCCTGTCTCCACAAAAAGATACAAAAATTAGCCAGGTGTGGTGGCTCACCCTTGTAATACCAGCTACTTGGGAGGCTGAGGCGGGAGGATCGCTCAAGCCTGGGAGGTTGAGGCTGCAGTGAGCTGAGATCGTGCCACCACATTAGCCTGGACAACAGACAGAGACCCTGTCTCAAAAAAAAAAAAAAAAAAAATCAAATCCTTGCCCTTCCAGGTCAACTGAATAAACCTGAAGAGTGGCAAAGTAGTTCTCTACTTTGGTGCCTCCATATTCTGGGAGAATAATTCTTTATCTCTAACTTTCACATTAACTGGCTGAATCCACCTTTTCCTTGAAAGCTCAATCCAACAGCTACTACCGTTGCTAGCAATGCTTTACCTTAAGATTTTTCTGGAAGTGTAATGCCTCCTTTGGTTACAGTTTCAGCTGTACTCCTTTCAACCAATACTCGATCAAAGAGCGTAAGAAACTTCTAAGTGCTGGTCCTGCTATGACTCCTGCTGCTGTAGCTCATATTCTCCAAACCCAGTTTATTTAATTCTAAATCCTGTGGTTCTAACCATTATATAGATATATACTGCGATGTGTCTCCCAGTATCTACTGCTTTAAAGTAATGCTATTCTGATTCCCTGTGGGAACCTCTCCTTACCCATTTTTAGTCCTTGAGCTCCTGAAGGAGTTTTCTACGATGTGGCCCAGCAGTAAAGCACTTGCTGTGGCCCTAGCCACTCATCAAGCTTATTCAGTTGGCCCACACCAGGCCTAAAGATAGGCATGTGATTAAGTAAAGCCAGTCAGACACAATGAAGTTTTGCCTGGGAATATATGAGTGTGTGTTTGAGTATGTGTGTGTGTGTGTATCTTGATCTTCTCTTTGAACATGAAACTGAGAGGCTTGGAGGTCTAAAGCTAAAGCTGCTGTCTTGCTTTCACATGAAGCCTAAAAGTAGCGGTAACTAAGATGAAATCACCTCATAATATTGTTTGAATGCAAACTTAGCTGTGCCTGAGTTAAGCCCCATTCCTCAACTTTGCAACTTAGACAATTCCCTTTCTTGTTTAAGCTAGTTTCATTAGGTATCCTGTTACTTGTAATCAAGAGTCCAAGCTGAGACACTTGACACACAAAAATCAGTATGTGTATTTTTTTTTTATCCATAAATCTCTTTATGGCAGGGGCAGATCTCACCCTGATCTGGACACTCTATTTGCTACTTAGACTTGGTCTCTGTGAGTCATGACACAGATCCTGAATTGGCCTAGCATCCTAATCCAGCTCTGGTGGTGCAGAATCCCACCCTAGCCCTGGTGTCTTGGCCAAGTCAGGTACAGCCTTTCTGTGAAACAGTGTTTGAGATATTAAAGGTCTATGGAGCTTAGATAAAATTCAAATGCATTCCTTACAAGTATAGTACTTACAGTAAGCAAGCTAGAGGAACTCAACGTATTCACCCAATATTTATTCCACAACAGCTCGAGCAATTTGCGATCCAAAGAGGATTTAAAATATGAGACTTCTAAGGCATAATATCTATGAAATAAAAGCACAAAATTTAGTAAGTAAAAAAAAATATTCAACTACATCACATAAAAGTTATGGCTAGTTTTAAGTGAATTACACTTTATTCTCAAATATTCATGTTTTAGTTTTTATTCCAATGAGGCAAGAGCTAACCATGGTTTCCTCGCACTTCAAGGGTTGTGGATCCAAATCTCCTACTAAACTTCTTGTTTTATTCCTTTTTTTCTGTAGAGCCCAGAAATTCCCAAAATGTTATTAACAACCAGTCAAAACTTCTGAATGACAAGTTTATTCCTGTTACTGAGTTCATAAATTAAGTCAACAGCACATAAACTTAATGAGCTGCCTCTCTAGAGTCAACTATAATTTTTGTTAGTCTCTTTAAAATAATAAAAATGACATGTGGATTCCATTATTCCCTTCCTAATTCCCCAGTTAGGACCTACTGCTTTTTGAAAAGCAAATTTTAAGGTAGGTCCTTAAGGCATCCAAAGTAATTGCTCCCACTTTCAAAGGTGCTTAATTTATCATCAGGGCATAGTAAGGAAAAATCTAGTTAAATGTCTGAAAAATATATGTATTTTTAAGATGTAAACTTACATCTTAAACTTACGCATGTTTCTGTGTATCAACGGATATAAAAAAGGATAAGAGACATCTTTACCTTAAGGAACTCAACATTTATATGGGGGATGTGGTCTAAACCCACAAAAAAATTAAATATGAAGATATACATTGAATAACAATAAGTGATGCTACAGTGCTATATAAAATGAATCACCTACCAACTAAAGGTTAGAGATTAATAAGTATTCTTCATATAGAGGAGCTCAAGTGATCACTTGGAGCTAGAACTGCCTGAGAAGCCTCAAGGAAAAGGCAAGGTGTAGGGTAACCATTTTTGAGTCTATGGTACGGATATGTGGAGAGCAAGGAGGGCATTAGGCAGAGAGCATCAACACACAAAAAGGAAAGACATGTAAGGGATAATAAGGCAATGGGTTTAGCTGGAAAATTTAGCAAGAGAAGAATTATGTGAGGGGAAGCTAGAAAGCTATGCTGGGGTCTAGGTGGTGAAGGATGTTACATAAAAGGTTAAGAACATTTTTTTTTTTTTTTTTTGAGATGGAGTCTTGCTCGGTTGCCCAGGCTGGAGTGCAATGGCGCGATCACAGCTCACCATAACCTCTGCTTCCTGAGTTCAAGCGATTCTCCTGCCTCAGCCTCCCAAGTAGCTGGGACTACAGGCACCCTCCACCACGCCCAGCTAATTTTTGTATTTTTAGTAGAGATGGGGTTTCACGATGTTGGTCAGGCTGGTCTTGAACTCCCAACCTCAGGTGATCTGCCTGCCTTGGCCTCCCAAAGTGCTGGGAGCCACAGTACCCGGCCAAACTTTGGGAGGCAGAGGCAGAAGAATCACTTGAACCCGGGAGGTGGAGGTTGCAGTGAGCCAAGATCGCGCCATTGCACTACAGCCTGCACAAGAGCGAGACTCTGTCTTAAAAAAAAAAAAAAGAAAGAAATTTAAACTTTATCCTGTAGATACCTGGGACTCTTGGAAGGTGCTTGAGTAGAATAGAAGGTACTTGAGTAGAGTAATAATACAGTCAAACGGGTGTTTTATAGAAGCCTGGCTGTGGCAGTACCATTGGGAGATGTTACAGGAGAGAAACTAGAGGCAGGGATTCCACAAAGGAAGCCACTGCAGAAGGGCAGATGAGAAGAGAGAGAGGTTCAGACTCAGAGGTTAGTGGTGCAAAAGATAAAGACACATGGGCACCCTTTTAAAAACAGACTGCTTTTTCTGAGCCGCATCTCGCTCTGTCACTTAGGCTGGTGTGCAGTGGCACAATCTGGGCTCACTGCAACGTTTGCCTCCCAGGTTTAAGTGATCGTCCTGCCGTAGCCTCCCGAGTAGCTGGGATTATAGGTGCCCACCACCATGCCCAGCTAATTTTTTGTATTTTTAGTAGAGATGGGGTTTCACCATGTTGGCCAGGCTGGTCTCCAACTCCTGACCTCAGGTATCCACCTACCTCAGACTCCCAAAGTGCAAAAATGTTCACTGATTAAAGTTCAGCAGTGAAGAAATAAAACATAATAAATTAAAGACATCATGCTGGGCGCAGTGGCTCATGCCTGTAATCCCAGCACTTTGGGAGGCTGAGGCAGGCAGATCACCTGAGGTCAGGAGTTCCAGACCAGCCTGGCCAACATGGTGAAACCCTGTCTCTACTAAAAATACAAAAATTAGCTGGGTATGGTGGTGCGTGCTTGTAATCCCAGCTACTTCGGAGGCTGAGGCAGGAGAATCACTTGAACCTGGGAGGCAGAGGTTGCAGTGAGTCGTGCCGGCGCAACTGTACTGCAGCCTGGGCAACAGAGTGCGACTCCATCACACACACAAAAAAGAACACTTTTGGGCTGGGCATGGTGGCTCATGCCTGTAATCCCAGCACTTTGGGAGGCTGAGGTGGGCAGATCACGAAGTCAGGAGATCCACGCCATCCTGGCTAACACGGTGAAAC